GGGCTTAGAGGCCCAATCGAGGCCAGAGAATGATCAGAGAGCACGCTCGCGATCAAGACGCAGACTGCGTCGCGAGCGCGAGCGGTCGCCGTCCAGCCGCCAATCCTTTTGAATCGATATGTATATTTGTTGAATGAAAGACCATTTTGACGTCTTTTTCCCTTTATTTTCTGGGATTCGTGCAAGATCCCCTTCTTGAAGTTTTTGCCAGTACGGCAGATCATCTCAAAAGTTTTAGATATTTTTTTGGTTTTTCTGTAGAATTGGAGACTTTTGTAACTCGGAGGTGAATTTTTGAGAAAGATGTTTCTCTGCATGGTAGCAACCATTTTTTTGTAAAAGCCACTGGACTGTACATCGTCATTTTTTGCATAACTAATACGGTTGATCTATTTTCTCACGTCATGAGATTTTGTCATGGAAATGGATAACATTCTGAGATTTACGTACAATTTTCGCAATGGGGTCATCTAAATTTTCTGTAAATTCTAGAAGCATTGCAAAATTAATGTGTTTTCTATATTACAGGATAGTGTTTTCGTAGCACCTCCCAACAAGCAACATCCAAAACCTGAGCCTACATTTGAGGATGCCGTTTACAAGCGGATTCATAAACAATTCCTTGAGTAAGTTCAAATGGATCCTGACTTGCAAAACTGAGAAAATGGATGTAATTTACAGACAGATGCTGTTGATTCGTGGTGCTGCCGTATCGGCACCAGAGCGTGGATCTACGGTTTCAATTGATTTGGGTACCATGAAATGGAAACCTGGTGTACTGGAAGCAAATTCAGACCTTGTGGAGGCGGTGAATTCGATTGGAACCAGGTGGGAATCATCGCAAAGCACAAGTTTATTTTTTCGTACTTTGTAATGATTTAGAATATTCTTTGACTTCTGTCGTGACGAGTTTTGGGCCAGACAAGTACAGCAGAAAATTCAAAATAAGCTGGCTCAGATTCATGTAAGTCGTATCTGAATTATTTGTACATGTTATTCGTATGTTCAATGTTTAGCTTCCGTACTTCATTGAGAAATTGGAATTAGCATCTCTAACTCTTGGAAGAACTGCACCTCGCATCGTCGGAGTTTATGCGCCGGTACTGAATGAATGGGGAACATGGGTTGACTTTGAGGTGAACAAATTTTCCTTTCTTTCATCTGCTCATCTTTTTTTT